TGCTGCCATGAGTAAGCTTGGAACACATGTCCACTGGTTGTATATCTAGGAATGGAGTAGCTGGGTCATAGGGGGTGTTTTCTTCTTCCTCTTCCTCTTCCTCTTCTTCCTCCTCCTCCTCCTCTTCTTCCTTTTCCTCTTCCTCTTCTTCCTCTTCCTCCTCTTCCCCTTCCCCTTCTTCTTCTTCTTCTTCTTCTTCTTGTTCTTGTTGTTGTTGTTGTTGTTGTTCTTCTTCTTTCTTCTTCTTTCTTCTTCTTCCTCCTCCTCCTTCTCCGCCGCCGCCGCCGCCGCCTCCTCCTCCTCCTCCTCCTCCTCCCCCTCCTCCTCCTTTCTTCTTTCTTCTTCTTCAACAGGGTCTCACACTGTCACCCCGGCTGGAGTACAGTGGCGTGATCACAGCTCACTGCAGTCTTGACTTTGCAGAATTGGGCAATCCTGTTGCCTCAGCCTCTTGAATACTTAGGATGACAGGGTCACCACTACCATGCCCAGCTAATTTTGTTGTTGTTGTTGCTGTTGTTGTTACTATTTGTAGAGACGGGGTCTCCCTATATTGCCCAGGCTGATCTTGAACTCCTGGGCTCAAGCAATCCTCCCACCTCAGCCTCCCAGAGTGCTGGGATTATAGGTGTGAGCCACTGTGTACAGCCTCCATATGTGTACCTTTATACTGCCAGTTTTCTAATGTATTTGAATCAATTCAAACTATACTAGCAACACATGAGTTCTAGTTGTTCCACATACTTGATCTTGGCTTTTTCATTTTAGTCATTTGTTTTGTTTCGTTTTGAGACAAAGTCTCACTCTGTTGCCAGACGGGAGTGCAGATGGCAAGATCTTGGCTCACTGCAACGTCCACTTCCTGGGTTCAAGCAATTCTCCTGCCTCAGCCTCCTGAGTAGCTGGGACTACAGACATGTGCCACCACATTCAGCTAATTTTTATACTTTTATTAGAGACGGGGTTGCATCATGTTGGCCAAGCAGTCTGGAACTCCTGAAGTCATGTGATCTGCCCATCTCTGCCTCCCAAAGTGCTGGAATTACAGGCATGAGTCACCATGCCTGGCCTCATTTTAGTCATTCTAATGGCTATCTCATCCTGGTTTGAATTTACATTTCCTGATGAGTATTGAGATTGCACACCTTTTCATTTGCTTATTGGCTGCTTGGCTTATTCTCTTGTAAAGTACATAAACAAGTATTTGGCACTGACATGGTAAACTTTTTCCTTAAACTGAGTTTTAAAAATAAATAGCGTGCATTTATAAACATTCTTATTCAAAGAGCAAGAAAGTTTGCCCTGTGAACTCTATTGCAGTAAGTAACTTTTGAGAAGTCTGCTGATACATCTATAAACCAAGATGACTTTGGCCACCATGATTGCCTTTCATATAAATTTATAAACAGGAAGAAACCTTGAATGTTCTTTTCAGGCCACTAAAGCTACCAGCATTGGTAAGAAAAAAGAAAATAGAATTAGTAATAAATACAAGCGTTGTTTTTTAGCCTTGGGAATAGCTTTTTGTCTGTTTGGTTTTATGAATTGTTTTATGAATTCTGATTAGTAACAGAATAAGCTGTTAATTAGTAAAATATTACTAATGTAAAGAGTTAATTTAGGAAAAAAATGTAGTATAAATTGCCCTTTTAAAAAATGCTTATTTTCACAGTTGTTAGGATTTTTTTTTTCTGCGACAGAGGAATGCATGTATATCTAAGAGTGGAATAGCTGGGTCATAGGGTGTTCTTTTCTTCTTTTTTGGTCAGAATTTCCAGAGTTACAGAAATTCAAAGTTTATCATATTCTCACCTCCCAGAGACAATTAAGTTTGATTTGTATTAATCCAGGTTTTCTTCTATAAATTTACTAACATGCGTCACAAATGATAATATACTCTACATACTGTTTTGCCATTTGCCTTCTAACAATAATTGTTGTTACTAAATTTTTAAGTTTATTTTCTGTGATAATTGGTTACTCAATTATTGACTGTAAGAATGCCTTATTAAATAGATAAAAATGTAATTTTATGTCAATTTTATTAACCTTCTAAGTCCTTAAAATGGTTAATTTTCTGGCAAGGTTCAGTATAAATATTTTAATTTACTTAACACAGTGTTTCCCAGTACACAGAAAAATTGCAACTGAGCAGGGGGGCGGGGGGGGAGGTGTAAGTGAAAAGGGTGAAAGTGGCTTGGATTTCCACAATTCTTTTTATATTTGTGGCATTTGAATTATGATAATTCAGCTACAATTGGTAAATCTACTCTAAGTTCATTAGAACGTCTCTGGATTGTGCCTACACTTTGTAATATGATGGCAGCTTCTCCTCATCTCAGGTGGCCGGGTGGCAGTCAGGTTAAGAATGTGCTCCTCAGAACACCTGCAGATCTGATTGGTCACCCAAGGATTATGCTTGTGTCTAGTTCATTATTCTGTTTTATTGGGAATGTCACTGAGTTTTTACTAAAAGCATGAATCCTAGTCTCTGATTGGAAATCTCCGTGTGGATTTTTTTAAGCAGTGAGGCTAATTTAAAAGTATAACCATTGGTCTATTTAAAGAGCAATATTATACAAATAAAGTAAAATCTGAGGTATTCTGCTTTCTGGAGTAGTATAATGTCTAATGTGCAAACAGAATCTTTATTTTCCCTTAACCTGGTGGCAGCTTGTCAGGCAAATCATTATATTCTAAGGTCTGTAATCTCAACAGATCTCGTCTTATATTGAAATAAGAATAACTGAGCTGCGTTTTCTCTACCCAAGTTGAATAAACTATACAATACTGGTGTTGCTAGATATTAAAGAAGATGCATTCTTTTAATACCTTCATTGTAATTATGTTGGTGAAATCAGTCTGTTTCTAGGTTTGGGAATTAATCCTCTTGAGTTTCTTATACTAAAAACCAGTACTTTGCCAGCTGAAGATCACCTTCCACTTTTATAAAGCATTTCACCAAATATCCTTTTCTATTCCAGCGAGACCAGGCAGAAGTTTCTCCATGGAGTATAGGCAATTTTCAGGAACGGAAAATAGACATTCTTCTCTGGAGGATTTTCTCTGACCAAAGTGGCATCACAGAATAGATATCCTTAATGAGAACTGGCAAATAGGAAAACACTGGACATAGATGTTATCATGCAAAGGAGTGTGCTGTGGTGTGTTGTTTGCCACCCTTAATGTGAAGTACTAGTTTTAATAGCTAATCAAATAATGGTAGGATAAATTATGTTATGCTAGGGGGAAAAAAAAGCGATTCAAAAGAACCTAACCATCAGATTTGTTTTGGAAACACTGGTAACCAAAGGAGCATAAATGTTAATGTCTCAGTCTTCTCTCCTTCATCAGTAGTGTGGGCAATCCAAATAAAATGACCCTGTTTTTCAGATGTTTCCACTAATTGTTTGGGAAAACAAAATTGTTTCCCATTTGTTCTTCTGGGAACAAAAAATGGAGCTGTCTTTCTTCAAACTGTGTAAATGGTCAAATTGCGTTTTTGTTTTTTAAACAGCCTTGTTTCCTGAGCTGAGAACTCATTACCAGACTTACCCTGCAGTATGTTTTGTCTGCTAAATTAAAGCAAATCAAAACAAAACAACAACAAAAAGCCTGCTATAACCTGCGTTTAGGTTTTTAGCAGTAAGGAACTACCTGTGACAGATGCTTAGCCATTGTCATGTGAACAACTTTGTTGTAATAAACATAAACAGGAGTTGCAGTGGGGGAACCATGGGAACTGATTGATCAGACTTTAAGGAGAGTCATTTACCATAAGCACCAGGACTATTTAGGGAGTGTCTGCTCAGGATGTTGAAAAGCTTTAAGTGTGTGATGGCTGTGAACGTTCAGAGGGTGCTGCTGCGACTCCCCAGTACCTGATGCCAGGTTTTATAGCAGCTTACATTTTAGTTACAGTGGCTTTCCCTTGATGTCTCTCTTGTTACCTATTTTCTTAAATAATTTTTTTCTTTTAAGGGAATCATCATATAGGAGTGGGGAAAAACAGACTTCAATGTTGAAACAAAGTTTTGTGAAGGAGATTTAATGCCTTGCTTAGGAATATGAGTGGTTATAATTAATTCAGTGTTCAATAGGGTCTTGAGCAGTGCTGCCAAGGATAAAAATGACTTTTGCATGTATTTTATGGAATGTGTGTAATTAGCCTTATCTTCTACTTGTGTTCATAACCCATGTGAATAAACTCCAGTACTACTTGTAGAACTTTATTACTTGACATCTGACTTTGCAATTGCAGTTTTCTCTGTGCTTTTGAATTGAGGAATGTTTTAAGCAGAATCCCTGGAAGTCAGAGAGAAAAAAAGTTAAACATAAGCCTAATCAAAATCCCAAGATGATTTGGAAGATGGTTTGTTTTGTTTTCAGGGCAAGGTTTTTTTGTTCTTTCAGCTCTCTGAAGTGAGACTGATGATCTTAGGGTGTCAATATTCATCGTTCTTGTTTCCTTGACTGTGGGAAATTTATTAATCAGGTTGAGTAAAATATGAATTCTGCCCTGAGGGCTTTCCTACATAGTGGAAAAGCTGTGATTTATAAAGACACGGTGTAATGAACTAAAGTGATAATGAAAAGCCTTGGGCAGACTTGCTGTGTAATTTATTTTAGGCAATTTACACAGGTTAGTGTGTTTAATTATTTTTGTTCTTGTCAGAATTGTCCTTTCTAATAGTAGGATCCCTCAAATTGCACTTGCTGCTGGTGAAAGTAGGCTCCAATTTTTTCTTAAAGTCCAAACCATTCCTTTAAAGGTTAACAGATGTTTACTCTCCACTTAAGTCAGTGAAAGGTGATATTTAAGTATAGTCTTAACTAGTTACTTTCCTCTTTGCCTTTAAACACTGCATTAAGTGCAAGTATATATGCATCCCTGTGGGGTTTTGACCAAAGCACACACCCATACCCCTTCCTGCCTCCCTGGAACTGGTTCAAGATTTGGAAAGAAGAGTTTGCTTGTGGGTGTTTCCCTTGTCTTATCTCTGAGTGAGCATATGCCAGGGTTGAATTTATTTTGACCCTTTCATTTTAAATTTGGAACCGAAGTAAGAGTTTAAAGTGCAACAGGAGAAGAGAGTCTGCTGAACTTTAGACATGAGGGATCCAGGGAGGAAGGTGCGTAAATACAACCTGAAGCTTTCTCTAGAGGCTTTCTCATACAAGTGACTGTTTTTACACATGTACATTATTGTAAACTAATAACTACTACTCAAAGGAATATTTAAAGCTATATGAAAATGTATGGGGCACTTATATCATGTTTATGTGCCTAATTTTAGTAGCTGTGCCTCTGGTATTTCACACTTTTTACATTAATAGCAGAATAAGTAAATTCTGAATTTTTATTTGAAAGCCTTTTAGGAAAGCTTAGGCTGGGTATCTGCAAGGCGAAAAATATCATGTGTGATTGATCTTCAAGGGAATGATGAAAAAGTATATAGGTATTTTCTATAGCATCAAATAAAGAGACCTATAAATGGTTATTAGGTAAAGGTTACCCAGGTCCTCCTCAGAGTACAGAATCGGTTGTTTCTTTACTGATTATTATTTATGTTTGTTCGTTAATTTTAAGTACAGTTGCTTGCATTTATAGTAGGCTGAACTGATTTTTTTTGTGACTGATCTTTTCCAGAGCCTGGCCCAACTAGAGAATCTGTGCAAACAGCTGTACGAAACCACAGATACAACCACTCGACTCCAGGCAGAGAAAGCCTTGGTTGAATTTACCAACAGCCCTGATTGCCTGAGCAAGTGCCAGCTACTCCTCGAAAGAGGAAGTGTGCGTAAGATCTGAAAATCCTAAAGGATAACGGGCACTTAGGAAACTTTATTCTGGTTCTCTGTGTAGGGATGGCTTGGGATAGCTTCTGTTCCCTTATTTTTCTAGCTGTCCCTGACTTATTTTCACTTTTAAAAAGCACCATAGCTGTCAGGTTGGCAAAATGGCCATACACACAGCCTCATCAAGAAAATCTCTTTGAACATGTATTTCTGTTCTGTAATTTTTCATCCTAAATTTCCAGAACTTGTTTTCTGCTTTTACATTTAAGTGCCACATCCTATCCTTTCCAGAATAAGATAGTTGTAGATAAATGACCATTTTAATCCTAAGTCCTGGTACAAGATCCTCAGTCTTCTCTGTGTTTTACATCCTCTCTGCCATGGCTACTGTTTATTGCCTTACAAGTCCAGGAAAAGTGACCTTGACAGTGAAATTACAGGAGACTGTAGGATTTTAAATGGGATTAGAACCTCCTCCAGCTTAAAAATGGCATTGCAGTGATCACAACAATGTTTCTAATGAGGTTTAATTTGATAAAAATCACTGTCTTTGGCAACATGGCCACAGTCCTACGAAAAGGCATCCTGAGAGGCAGATCCCAGCCAGACTTCAGCAGCAAGCACTGGGCTTCATTCAACAAAGTGGCAACGTGAAATACAGTCCTCATATTTTTCCTGATGCTCAAACAGCTTCCCAGTCGTGCTTACCTATATTATCCTCTTTCATATATGAAAGGGAAAATACCAAGAAAAGGCATATATATTAGCCCTCATTCTTGTATGTGTGGAAAAGGTGAAAATAGAAAAGATCATGCCATGTGGTATTCTGAACAACAGTAATCCCTAAAGAACTGGTTAATCAAAATTTGCTTTCCAAAAAGTAGCCTTAATACTGCAACAAAATGTAAAAAAAAAAAAAGTTAAATAGTAGAGAGGATACAATTCTAGGTGACTTTATTTTTTATTTGTTATTAATATTGTTTATACAATAAATAGAACAAATTATAATTGGTTGAAATTATCACTTAGAGGCAGAGGGATGTGAATTTTCCCTCAAATATCTGAATGATACAAAGTCATGGTCAGAGATTGTGTGGTAGTCTAAGTTTTATGCGTATAGTGTTTCATATATTTCTCTTAAATCACTTGGTGTTTGGATTGATGCACTTGTATTTGTCCTGGTGGGAGATGCCCAGCTTGCTTTGCCAGCTGACTCCTGCTGGAGTGACAGTATAGTCTTTCTCACCACTAATCTTAAATGTTTATACCTGGTGGTATTATGTAATATTACCATAAAGGATAGCCCGAAGGACTACCATCTTTTTATTTTATTTATTTATTTTTATTTAAAACAGGGTTTCACCATGTTGGTCAGGCTGGTCTTGAACTCCTGACCTCAGGTGATCTGCCCACCTTGGCCTCCAAAGTGCTTGGATTATAGGTGTGAGCCATCACGCCTGGCCAGGACTACCATCTTCAGGACTTTGTGTTTCATAGAAAATTGTCCTTGACCCTTGATTAAAATATTTTAATGGTCTGAGCCTGTCCCTGTTTTATGGCATTATAGTATAATACAGCCACATGGAGGAATTCTTCCATGCCTCTTTATGCATTGTGATCGAGTGGAATGCTTTGATTCTACATAAGTTTCAGACTTGTTAAAGCGACATTTGAGAATGTGATAAACCTATTCCATTGCTTAATATTTCTTTTTTTCCCTAATATCATGCCATGAAATATTTTGAGGTGATATTGAAATATCATTATACAGATACTAAGGGGAGATTTCTTGGTTTAAATGAGGGGAGAGATTTTTTTTTTCCTATCTCTTTCTGAAAAGATGCCCTTTAATGTCTGTCCCTCAGAGTGAAGCAGATATTTGTATTAGATTCAGATTGATCATGCCGTTCACCTTGCCTGTTGTTCATTGTTGAAGTCAGCTAAATAAATGTATGCCGTGTTGTTCATTTTTCCTCAGAGTGATAGACCCTCTAAAAATCCAGAGGATCAAGTATGCCAAAACTGATTGCCTTTTCTTGAATCTGAGCACAAATCTCCAAGTAAAAAACCTTGTGACTGGCTTGCCGAATACAATTTTAAGTCCTTTTTCCCTCTCTTTTCACAGTCCTCTTACTCCCAGTTACTGGCAGCTACATGCCTTACCAAGCTTGTATCACGCACAAACAACCCCCTACCATTGGAACAGCGAATAGATATCCGTAAGTGGAGAATTTTCTGTTCTGTCTTGAAGAAAATAGTTTGTTTAGTGATGCACTAGTAATAGTCAAGTGTATGTGTTTGTTCAATGACATGCTGAGATTGCTAACCATACAGAATGTCTAGAATCCAATTTGTTTCCAGAATTTTGAGCTTATGAAAGTGAAGGGCCCAACACAATTAATTCTAGATAAAGCTCTTTACTGCCACTAATAAGTAAGAAAAACATTGTTAACAATTTTGACTTCTGTGTAGACCACATTATTTAGTTACCCAGGGATAGAGTCAAGGCCACTATACTGCAAATTCTTCATGTGACAAAATAAAATTCTGAATTAGAACACTTACTAATCTTAAATTTGAGGTCTCAGTAGCAGAAATAATTAATACAGTTTGTGTTGAATAGTCTGCATTTATAGCTTCCTGGCCATTTAGCATGTCTAAAGATACATGCCCTTCTCTGGCAGAGCTTTCTGTTACATGGATTGTTTTTTGTTTGTGTTTTTTTTAATAGGGAATTATGTGCTCAATTACCTTGCCACTCGGCCAAAGTTGGCTACTTTCGTGACACAAGCACTTATTCAGTTATATGCCAGAATCACAAAACTGGGCTGGTTTGACTGTCAGAAGGATGACTATGTCTTCAGAAATGCAATCACAGACGTCACAAGGTTTTTACAGGTACAGTGTATATATTTGATGTAATGGGAATGGGAGAACCAGCATGTGTGTACACACACACACACACACATACACACACACACACACACACACACACACTTACATGCTTATCTACTTTTAAAACATGATACAAATGGAATTATTTGATATATTCTCTTCTGCATGTTTTTACCCTTAATATGTCTTGGCAGTATTTGCGTGTTGGCAAAAACAACCCGTGTCTCATCCTTTCAAATTCCTCTATATTTTCTTTCTTTCTTTCTTTATCTCTCTCCCTCTCTCCCCCCCTCCCCCCTTCTTCCTCCCTCCCTCCCTCCCTCTCACTCCCCCCTCTCTTCTTTCTTTTCTTTCTTTCTTTTCTTCTTTTTTTTTTTGACTGTTAAATTAATACTTCAGTGAATAGCCCAGTACATATATTTTGAATAAGCATGTTTGTAGGGTCAATGCCTAGCCTTGGAAAGATATCTCCAAGTTATCCTCAAAAAAGCTATACAACGTGCCCTTCATAATGATGGTTTGGTCAACAGTAGACCACATACACAACAGCGGTCCCATAAAATTATAATGGAGCTGACAAAGGAGCCTAGTGACGTGAAGCTGTCTTAATGTCGTAGCACAATTTATTAAGCAAAGTTAGTGTAGCTTAAATGTACGTATTTATAAAGTCTATAGTGGTGTACAGCAATGTCCTAGGCCTTCACATTCACCCACCACTCTCTCACTGACTCACCTAGAACAACTTCCAATCCTGCAAGCTCTATTCACAGTGAGTGCCCTATGCAGGTGTAGCTTTTTTTTTTTTTTTTTTTTTGAGACGGAGTTTCGCTGTTGTTGCCCAGACTGGAGTGCCATGGCACGATCACGGCTCACCGTGACCTCCACCTCCTGGGTTCAAGTAATTCTCCTGCCTCAACCTCCTGAGTAGCTGGGACTACAGGCACGCACCATCATGCCCAGCTAATTTTTGTGTTTTTAGTAGAGACGAGGTTTCACCTTGTTGACCAGGATGGTCTCGATCTCTTGACCTCGTGATCCACCCGCCTCGGCCTCCCAAAGTGCTGGGATTACAGGCTTGAGCCACCGCGCCCGGCCTACAGGTGTAGCTTTTAACAAAAAATATTTTATACTCTATTTTTACTTTATCTTTGCTATGTTTCTAGGACAGTCACTGGCTATACGAGTTTGTGCCTAGGAACAATAGCCTATACCATATAGTCTAGGTGGTAGTAGACTGTACCATTAGGTTTATGTAAGTACACTCTGTGATGTTAGCACAACAATGAAATTACCTAATAACACATTTCTTAGGATGTGTTGCCGTTATTAAGTGACTCATGACTATATCTACTTGATACTTACACCAAGAGTTTATAAGAGGACCTGCTTTCTTATACCTCAGCCCTGGAAGCTAAACTTCAAGTTTTCCAATTTAGTAGGTTAAAAAAATTGGTGTCACATTGTTTGGGTTATGAGTGAGACTGGACAGATTTTCAGATTTGTATTTGTTGCTTATATTTGTTTTTCTGTGAACTTCTGTGTATACCTTAAGCACATTTCCTTAGCTGCTTTGCCTTTTGCTTATTGTTGTATACAGTCTCTTTGTAAAGTGTGTTGCTTACTTGTCATTTGGCTTAGTAAATGTATTTTGCAGTTTACCTTTTTAAAATGTATATGCTATAATGCTTATGGGAATTTTTTTAATGTAAAAGTTTTAAATTTTGATGAAGTCAGATTTGTGAGTCCTCCTTTGTGGTAACAGGTTTTATGTCTGGCAAAACAAGAGTTTTAAACTATGATTCCTTGCTGCCTTGTCTAGGCAGTTTCATTACGGACACAGGAACCCATCATTCAAAAGTATGAGTGCGTTCCAGATGCCAAAACCAAGCACACATGACAACTCTTTTTACCCTATGCTTTTTTTTTTTACCCAGGATAGTGTTGAATACTGCATCATTGGCGTCACAATTTTATCTCAGCTAACCAATGAAATTAATCAAGTAAGTGCTACAGCCTTCCTCATTGAAGTAAGTGCCATATTTTTTCTTAGTATTCGTGTTTTCTGCTGTGTGTGGGATGATCTTTTTTGGCAGTTGTATGCTTTTGCGGTAAGTGATTAATGCCCTTTTGAAACAAAACAGTTCCATTGGGTTTTCCTCTGTAAGTGCAACTCACCTCACTTTTTGTTCTGTTCCTCTTCTGTCTCCAGGATATTTTCCCCTTGCACCTTAGCTTTTTTTGTTGGTATTAATTTTCATTATAGAGATAAAAGCAATCAAAATCATAACGAAATACTGCCTTGCCCATAAAAGAGAATGACTTCAAAGAAGGGGCTGGGCACTGTGGCTCACACCTGTAATCCCAGCACTTTGGGAGGCGGAGGCGGGTGGATCATGAGGTCAGGAGTTCGAAAGCAGCCTGACCAACATAGCAAAACCCTGTCTTTACTAAAAATACATAAATTAGCCGGACGTGGTGGTGGCCACCTGTAATCGCAGCTACTCAGGAAGCTGAGGCAGGAGAATTGCTTGAACCCGGAAGGTGGAGGTTGCGGTGAGCCGAGATGTCGCCATACTTCAGCCTCGGCAACAGAGTGAGACTCTGTCTCCGAAAAAGAAAAAAAGAACCATAAAAGTGGACCTTTTGTGTGCCCCTTCTGCTCCTCAATACCTTGAATTTTTAAAATAGTCATTGACGTGACAGAGGACTACAGAGGAAACACCAGTGGCTTTCTTTTGCTCTGGCTATATTTTAGTCATTTACTTTTATGCAGCTAAAATTTTGTGATTATAGAATAGACCCGTATCAACATTAGTTATAACATCTTACCCGTAAGTTGGCAGCATATTAATTATATTAGCATTACTGTTGCTATTGCTCATAATTATGCAGACATTTTTATTAACCTTCAGAAATCTTAACTGTGAGTTGATCCTATTTCAAATGTGTTAGCTTATAGCCTGTGAAAACTTGGAGTCCATGTTGTGTTCTCTAGCCATGTGCAATCCCCATTGTGATCTGTAATTACCAAAATAATAACAGCTTACACTTTTGAGTGATTACTGTTAACTACTATTCTAAGCACGTACAGTAAATAATTTTAAATAATTTTGGTGAGGTCTGGATCTGGACTATTAGTATGTAACCATCACCCAGATAATATTCTCAGAACAGTCATATGAGGTAGGTACTGTGCTTATCCCATTTTATGGATCAGGAAACTGAGGCACATAAAGGTGAAATTACTTGCCTAAGGTTTCACAAGCAACAGTGCGTGAATTGAACCCAGATAGTCTTATTCTAGGGCTTGTGTTCTTAACAATAATGTACTATTTAACCACCCTTAAAAAAACCTTCACAGTAGAAGAGCAGATGCATTAACTGAGGATAGAGATTGTGGGCTTAATCTTTTCCCCTTTGAAGCTTGGCCCCACATAGTACATCAATTTATATATATATATAAAAGACTTTTTCAAGATTTTACTTTTCTTGAGAAAATGATGAAATTGTGTAGAGCATTTAGTGTGTAGTCATTCTGTGCATTATGGTCAGTATAACAGATTATATGATAAATAATCAGCAATATCTTTATTATCTAAGACACATGATAACACAATGACAGAAGCAAGAATTGGAGAATATTTTCAGCCTTTAAATCATTTGAATTTTTCATTGTTTTGTGGTTGTCAGGTTCAAAAAAGAAAATATATTTCTGTCATTATTCTTACCTAGAACCTAGAAATAAAATTAAGGAAGACTTGATTGTCAACGATCTTGCTGCTTTACACTTTAATGTGGCAAAAACAAAAGGGTCTCCTCTTGGATGAATTGATCAGTAAATAGGAGAGATTTAAGCTTTCAATAAGTGATTAGACTGAAAATACTCCTGACAACCTTGAAATTATTTTATTCCACATATTGAGTACCTACTGTGTGTTAGAACTAGGAGCATACTAAAGAAGTAAAAGATGGAGTTCTTGCCGGTTGCAGTGGCTCACGCCTTTAATCCCAGCACTTTGTGAGGCCGAAGCGGGCGGATCACGAGATCAGGAGTTTGAGACCAGCCTGACCAACATGGTGAAACCCCTCTCTACTAAAAATACAAAAATTAACCGGGTATGGTGGTGCATGCCTGTAATTCCAGCTACTCAGGAGGCTGAGGCAGGAGAATCACTTGAACCCAGGAGGCAGAGGTTGCAGTGAGCCGAGATCATGCCATTGCACTCCAGCCTGGGTGACAGAGTGAGACACTGTCCCAAAGAAAAAAGAAGATTTAGTTCTTAGCCACAAAAACATTTATAATTTAGCTGAAAAGACAAGAACAGCGAAATAAGTAAGAGACCAGTACAACCATTTAAATTGTTTTCACTTCTGGTGTATAGGCAATATGTTGAAATAGGTTAGAAAAGGAGGTGAATATTACAGGCTGCTGTCATTTGGAAATTCTGCAGTAACTTCAGCTTTGAGGGTTTTTTGAGTTTTGCTTACCAAAATCAAAGCCTGTTACCCTGTGGGTGTTTAAGAGACAGGATCTCACTCTGCTGCCCAGGCTGGAGTGCAGTGGTGCAATCTTAGCTCACTGCAGCTGTGAATGCCTGGGCTCAAGGCCCTCCTGAGTAGCTGCGCCTTAGAGGCATGCACCACCACACCAATTTCTTTTTAAAAGTTTTTAGAGGTAGCTGGGGAGTCTCACTGTGTCTGCTCCTGGGCTCAAATGATCCTCCTGTCTCAGCCTCCCAAAGTTCTAGGAGTTACAGGGGTGAGTCACCACGCCTGGCCCATTAAGCCACAGTACAACATGAAAGTAATTATTAGTAATGTCTGCCAACAATTTAGGTTTTATCTCCTGAATACAGAGGAAAATAAGAATTTGCAGCAGAGATATCCATCCTTTTGTTTTCCCTCTGTAAGCTAGAAAGAAAGGATATCCTGGCTATTAGCAGTTTATATCCTCCATCCTTTCACTAGATATGGTTTCACAGTAATTTAAATGTCAAAAATGTATTTTATGTTTATGTTGCTCTTATTGGAAATCCCAGCTTATTTGAAGTCTGCATGAAAAATTCTTTTTTTTGTAATTAATTCTTTGCATTGGTTTCTTCTTTGTCTGCACAGGCAGACACCACTCATCCTTTAACCAAGCACAGAAAAATAGCCTCCTCTTTTCGCGATTCATCATTATTTGATATCTTCACACTTTCCTGCAACTTACTAAAACAGGTGAGCATGTATCTTGGGTCATGTTTCCCAGTTTCTTTTGAAAGAATGAGAATGGATGGCAACTTGTTAAATGTCAGTTTTTAACTGACACTGTGAGAATTTAGACGTCTCTTTAATCTTCATCTCTTACTTAAGACTCATAGAGGTGTTAAAGGAACTGGTCAGAGTGACCACTGAGGTTGGAGAAATGATGGTCACTTTTCTGTTTCAGATCAATTCCCCTAGGTAAAGAGCAGTAAGTAAGTGCTTATCCCATACTCCTTATCTTAAAGGAATCTAGTTTGCCTAACCAGAGTTTGAAGTTCTGTTGTTGTTTTTATAACCACATAAAATCTTTCTACATGGTGTGAAAGCATCTTAGTTTTACAGTGTTTGGATTCTTAGTGCTCTGAAAGCAGGTTCAGACTACATTGTTAGCATACAGAAACCAGGCTGGTTCCCCTGCCCCCTGCTGAGTTAAAGGCAGCACATAAACAAGCAACATCTGTAAGGAAAAGTAGATGTTGAATTTTTAACATCCATTTAGATTTAATAACCTGGAGGGTAGTCAGTATCACAAGGAAATTACCTGTGTTAAAGTCGAAAGTTGGTGTTTCTGTTCATTTATTGATAGAGCTGAACTGAGAAAGAAGTGTTAAGCTGAGAGTTCCACACAGCTGCAACCCAGCTTGGGTGCTTTGTCCTATAGAAAACTAAATCGGGTTCGCCTCTGGCTTTTTGTTCATTTTTGTGGTTTTGTTCTCATTTTCCAACATTTCCCAGTTTTAGTTTTAGAAGCCAGTTTGTATTCTTTCTGTTATTCCAGTTAATGATACTCATCTTTTTCCTCAATTATGTAGTTTTACCTTAGAATTCCCAGATAATCCTCGGGTTAAGCAAAGCTGCCCGGCAAAAGCTGTTACACCCCCTGGAGGGGAAAAGGTTTTGAGAAAACTAAGGATTGAATTCTTACTGATACCATCAGGAACAAATAATTAGCCAGCCAGTCATGAAGGCTCAGCTGGTATAACCTTGCAATGGGACAGGCACAGTAGCTATGGACAGTACTCACCTGTAGTCTGTAGGTACATTGCAGATGAGTAAATAAAATTCAGTGATGATTTTAATTCTGGTTTGAAAGATTTTTGGTGATGATGGCGGTGAAAAAGAGGAAAGAAAGTATGGCAGGGTATTAAGCGTCCTCAGAGGTCCCTCCATAGTTTAACCCCATTCCTGTCTAGAAATAACTAGGTTCTCACATGCCAGTAAAATGACCACAGGAGCCATATTGCCTCAATTCTCTGTGGCCATTATGTCTACATTGTGTGAGGAATAAGTGTTTAAAAGGGGCTTTCTTTAAATACCAACTTCATGTTTTTATAGTAAACATATTTTCATAGTGTAGAAGGAACCAGGTATTTTCATAGTAACATTAGGGTGATAGAAGTACTGTGTCTTTGGAGAGAAGGGGACATTTTACTGTGCTGAAATACAGTCCTCCTTTTCTGGCTTAATAGGCTTGTCGATCAGGGAGCAAGCTGGGAAGAGAGGAGTGATTTTGGGGGGCTCATTATCTGGTAATTTTTACAGGCTTCAGGAAAGAATCTAAACTTGAATGATGAAAGTCAGCATGGCTTGCTCATGCAGTTGCTCAAGCTCACTCATAACTGCCTCAACTTTGACTTCATCGGCACTTCAACTGATGAGTCCTCAGATGACCTGTGTACAGTGCAGATTCCCACCAGCTGGAGATCAGGTAACAGAACTTCCTCCATCTCAAAGGCTGTCACTCCCCTACAGAGTGTCTGTAGGATGATCTAAAGAATTCCTGTGTATTCTGAGGGAGAACTGCGAAAAAATTCTTTTTTTTTTTTTTTTTTAAAACAGGGTCTCACTCTGTCACCCAGGCTGGGGTACAGTGGCACGATCACAGCTCACTGCAGCCACAACCTCCTGGGCTCAAGCAGTCTTCCCATCTCAGCCTCCCAAGTAGCTAGAACTATAGGCACATGCCACCACACCCAGCTAATTTTATTTATTTATGTTTTGTAGAAGTGGGGGTCTCACTATGTTGCCCAAGCTCATCTTGAACTCCCGGGCTCAAGTGATCCACCCACCTTGGCCTCCCAGTGCTAGGACTACAGGTGTGAGCCACCGTGCCTGGCCAGTCGCATCTGTTTTATAATATGGGGAAGGTTGTTGGAGTAATAGACCTCCCAGTGTCAAAGAACCTTTAAAATTGCTGATTAATAATAGATATGTATTTTACCTTCTTGCATTAACTGCCTAGAGACTTCTTTAATCTATTTAGGATAATATCTATCTTTAAAAACAAAATCAAACAGAACAACTTGTTTTTATGTTTGTCTTTGTGTTCCAGAATGATGAAGGTTTTAAATTATTTTTATGGACAGAGGTGCTTGGATTGCCTTAAATTCTCTGAGAATCGAAAGGAAGAATCTGTTTCTTAGAGAAGCTAATAATACTTTCAAAAAGAGAAAAGAAAAAGGAAAACCAAAAAGCCCCTATTTGCTTATCACTTCCAAATGAAATAAATATTCTGTAAGCTAAGTAGGCAGAAGGATATGCTCCCTGATGTATAGTGCCAGAAGTATGCCAGCAGCAACGTGCATGCCTAATAAAGTGATGTCTTTTGTCTTTTTCTTCCCCAGCATTCTTAGATTCTTCAACTCTGCAGCTGTTTTTTGACCTGTATCATTCCATCCCTCCTTCATTTTCACCTCTGGTGAGTCAGGACCACTGTTTCTTAATGCAAACCTATTTCTAGAAGATAGCAATGGTGAATGAGCCTTATGTTCATTTGTTTTATAAAATTATAGAAGTAAGGCATAGAAATACTAGGCTAGTTATCTAGTCTTTTGAGATTAAGCTTGTAGCCTAAAGGTTCTAGCCATAAAGTCTTAATTATTTTTAAATTATTCCTGTCTAAGGGCCAGTTCCTGCAGATGGTCAAGCTCTTCTGGGTCTCATCTTGTATCTGACTTTATGCTCTTCCTCAGATATCCACAGGCTAGCACATGGGGATTCACCTAATACTGTCTAGTTGAACTATTAAGATTGTCCTGGCTCAGAAAACCCCTCAGGCGTACATTAGATTGTGATAAATGGAATCTGTGATGGGAAGGCTAATTTGCATACTTACCCTGAATAACATCTGGAAGCTATTGGGAATGATGTATTTCTCCTTTAAAGCCATAATTAACCTAAAATTTCAAAATTCATTCAGGTTCTAAAATGCTAGTAGTCTGGTATTTCAGATTGTTGGTGTAAAATACTGGTTGGTGTTGTACACAAAATATATAAAGAAAACACAGTGACATAATGAGTGTTATGCATAGTATTTGTGCAGTAGAGGACTTTTCTGGTTATTGTAGCACTTCTCCAAATTAATGTAGACCTTCGTTTTAGCCGAAACATGATTCATTGTTGTTGGGTATATCGTTAAGGTTACTTCAAGAAAAGGTAGCACAGTCAAGAGGGATAATTAAGAATGGACTACTTACAAAGGTGTGAGTAAAATTAAGCAACACCAACATGGGTGGCGGTGCATGCCCCTGGGGCTGGCAGTAGAGGAGAGCCTCAAAGGGCAAGTGAAGGAAACCTGGAGAGAGCTGAAGCTGTGTTGTAGAGGAGGGCTGGACAAGAACTACAGCCATCAGTAGAGAAACTGCTGGCTGGTCATAGCCAGCTGGATGGTTGGAAGAGGAGAACCTCGTTCCTTCTACCCTCTGAACTGCTGCTGGTACTTTCCATTGGTTGAAGCTAACTAGAAGCCAGAGGGCAAGGGAGCTTGGCTGCTGTCCTCAACAGAGGCCAGCCTCCTAGGGAACAAGGCGGGGTGGAAAAGGGTGAAAAGGAGACCTAGAGGGGCGGCAGAGAGTGTAAATATCTAACACAGCAAGAACAGGAAAATGTCTTTAGGGGTAAAGCTGCTTTTTTTTTTAGAGCCCAGATAGGGTATGCTTATTTCTTTATATCATGTAATGAAATAAGCACATCATATCTGCATGTCAAACTCATATTAGCCAGGAAAAATAAATCTAAAATTTTAAAGTACAAATTGCTTGGTATTTTCATGGGTGAAATATATATCTTAGCAAGAACAAAGATGCCGTTGGAGTGGTTAAAGGGAATTTGTACCTAAGAAAATTTCCAAATTCTGAATTTAATGAGCTGCTATGGTCCGCTTGGATCTGTGCCCTTTTCTTTTTCTAAAATAATGTTGTTTCAGATATTTTAAAGAAGAGTATTGTAGGAGGGGGAATGTTTCTGGTGAAAATATCTGTACAATCTTTAATCATTGTATTTGGGTTTTCCCCTGCATTTAGGTATTATCCTGCTTGGTACAGATCGCCTCAGTCAGAAGATCCCTGTTTAACAACGCAGAGAGGGCCAAGTTTCTCTCTCATCTTGTAGATGGTGTTAAACGAATCCTGGAAAATCCACAGGTAAGTTTTTCTGAGAATGTACATACATATGGAATTAGTGTATGCCCAGCTGTTATGAGTCAGAAGGAAATCCATCCCGAGGCCCAGTAAACAATTCAGTCTGTTGTTCTTCAGGGAAGATTGATGTGAATCTCTATCCGTAGGCCAATTCTGAGAGTATTTGCCCAAAAGAGGAGCTCATATCCTCCAGTTTCAGAAATGTAGGCGTTACGGGAAAGAATCACTTTGTTATAAGGGAATAAGGAAGAAGCTACTCATTTTTCTCCCAAGAAATTCATGACATTTGCTTTTTGATTTTGTTTACCTTTTTACAAAAATGTTTATTGGTAACCTGAGTGTATAGGGCTGCTTTTAGGTGGGAAGGAAGATACTGTCTTTTAAATGTTCATGTCATAACTCCATTCCCTTTTTTGGCTTGAAGTCCCAGTGATTCAGCATTTTTTGAAAGTATCACTTCTCTACACTAGAAGAAAATTAAAAAGCAGTTTATTTTAAAATATACTCAGTTTTGTCCTTCTTTTTAAAATTCATTCATTCATTCAACAAATTATATTGAGTACCTACTCTGTGCCAGGGATACACTGGTGAACAAAATAAGGTCTATGCCTGCATATGCTAACAGAGGAAGACATATACCAGGAAACATACAATTAAATATACTGGTAGAATAAATTTTAAAAATCTATAATATTTGTTATAACTCTGTCATGTAAACAACATATGAATAAAGTGATATAACTACATGAAACATTTGTATAACTTTGCTAACTATAGATTATTTGTGCTTAATGATCAGTTTGACAGATGGAGGATGAAAATTTAATTAGATTTCCTTTGATTGGTAACAATCAATAAGCAAAGAAGCCAGTCACGTCTTAGAATGTGCCCACTTTTGCCGTAATGAGCTTTACAGCCTCAGTGTGATCCTTCTAGGCTTCTGTTTCAAACCTTGTCCATTGAGGCTAATAATCTCATCTCATCTCATGGGATAATTATTGAGAACATATCAGATGATAAATGTTACTGTCCCTTTTTAAAGTGACTTTTTAAAAAATTGTTTCTGAATATTATACAGATGTATCATTCTGAATCATGACTTGTAGCCTAGAAGTTAAAAAGTAGATTTTACCCCATCCCCCATGCCATCCCAAGTATACATCATTCTTGAAGTACTGGTGAGTCATATTTTACATTTTATTTTTCTCTTGTGCTATTGCCAGAGTTTGTCAGACCCAAACAATTACCATGAGTTTTGCAGACTACTGGCCCGATTGAAGAGTAACTATCAATTGGGAGAATTGGTAAAGGTGGAAAACTACCCTGAAGTCATCCGATTGATAGCCAACTTCACAGTGACCAGCCTACAGGTTTGTCTTTGATTGCTTGTATCTTCCTTCCTAAATACTGGAATCTCTTCTCTTGCTTGTTGGGTTTTTTTTTTTGGAGACAGAGTTTCGCTGTTGTTGCCCAGACTGGAGTGCAATGGCACAATCTCGGCTCACTGCAACCTCTGCCTCCTGGGTTCAAGCAATTCTCCTGCCTCAGCCTCCTGAGTAGCTGGGACTACAGGCACGCACCATCATGCCCAACTAATTTTTGTATTTTTAGTAGAGACAGGGTTTCACCTTGTTGACCAGGATGGTCTCGATCTCTTGACCTCGTGATCCACCCGCCTCAGCCTCCCAAAGTGCTGGGATTATAGGCGTGAGCCACCACGCCCAGCCACTTGTTGGTTTTAACCATGTAAGAATATATATATTTTTTCTTGGCAAAGGTAAAAAGTATAGCCCTACAGAGTAGTTACTGTTGTGGCCCGTGAATTTACATTTATACAAGTGCAAGGATTGTGGGGAGAGGAACATGTGGGAATTAATAGGATAATATTTATACTCACACCAGAGAGAATTCCCTCAGAGTCACCCCAGAAAAGCCAAGGCTGGAACAGGGAGCCAGACAGAAGAGTAAAAAGAAAGTTAATTCCCTCTCTTTTTTAGTTGTGTAATAAAGAACAATGGGTCTCAAATTTTATGGCTTGTATCACAGTCATCTGGGAGACTGATGAAAAAATACAGGTTCTCGAGTCTTACCCCCATAATTTCTTGTTATAAGGGAATAAGGAAGATGCTACTCATTTTTCCCCCAGGAAGCTGTATTCACTAGGTCCATGGTAAAGCCCTGGTGTTTCTAATAACTTCTTCAGGTGATTCTCATGCATACTAATGGTTGAGAGCCGTGTGCATATGGCTTTCCTTGTGATATAAGGCTTACACAGCCAGCATATAGCACCTCTTCTCACTAGATGCTTAATCTTTGAGATACTGGTAAGCATGTTAAACTAGTTGCCATACACAGAACAACCCCCACAAAAGTCTATCCTCTTTTTTCAAAAAAGAAAAAAGTACCTTCTGTGTCGATGGTGTAAGACTACTGTATAGATAAATGAAAAATATGCCTTCTGCTTTTCTACTTTTCATTAGCACTGGGAATTTGCCCCAAATAGTGTGCACTATCTTCTGAGCCTGTGGCAGCGGCTAGCAGCCTCTGTGCCATATGTCAAAGCCACAGAGCCTCACATGCTGGAAACTTACACTCCTGAGGTCACCAAAGCCTACATCACATCCCGGTTGGAATCTGTGCACATCATACTGAGGTAAGGAAGCTTAGCCTCATTCATTCCCCCACCAGTGGCCTGGTGTCACACTTCATAGAGACCAAACATCCCACTGGCATAAAAGTACTCGATGGGTGTCTCATTGGAGCTCCTACTGTTCATGGTTCTTTTTCCTTGTCAGCAGAGTAGCATGAGAGCATAAAGCCTGATAGGATAGCCTTGTGTCTTAAACATTCATATCCTATTCATATTCCCCCTTTCACTGTCCATAGTAATAGCTTCGAATACAGAGTATATTCATATAATATTTGTCCTTGCCACTGTTTTTCTTTAAATGTGAGAAACATTTATAAGATATAGATGATAAGAATTATAATGTGTAACTTATAGGCGCTTAATGTGAACTCCTAAAGAAATAAGTGGATAAAGATTATACAATCTAGTTATCAACTCTAATTTGAGAGCTAGAGGACATAAGAATTCTAAGTCATTGATCACTGATTGCATTACCTTTACGTGTGATTTCTGTCTACATTGACTTAACTGAACCAGAAACCCGTAACTAAAGAAACATCAAGCCCCTTCAGAAATGACCTATATTAAATGAGGTTATCCCTGTTTATGTAGCTTTCTTGTGTATCTTTTTCATTGGCTGTTTTTCAAGAGACTTTACTTGGAGTCTGAGGGTCAGGGGCCTTTTAAAGTTAGATTGTTAATTTGCTTAGCTCCAAGTGCATTGAGTAGTCATGAATTTTAGTCTTAACTGTTTATGACTTGAATCAGTTCAAAATCTGAGTATTCATGAAGTTCACCAGCAAGCCTTGTTCTTTCACCTCCATAGCTTCACCTCTTGAGGATTCAGCTGGCTTCAGTGAGGCATCATTGGAGAGTGGTTATATGTTTGTAGGCTCTGGGCCTGGATAGCCAGTTAGTAGCTGTGTACTCTTGGGCAAGTTTCTCCATTTCTGTATTTGTAAAATTAAAATAATAGCCTACTTCGTAAGGTTCTTACAAGGATTAAATTAATATGACCTGGTACAGTATGTAGCACATGGTAAGCACTCAGCTAGTTGTAGTGCTGCTGTTGACATTATACTGTAGTGTAACAACAGAAAAGCTCCTCCTTGGACAAGATGTTACAATCTAGGAGCCGGCAGATATGGCAAGACCTAGTACAGGTCCACAGTGCCTTGTTTGCAATTCCAAAGTCCAAGATGTGACAGAAGAAATTTCCTCATCAGTTTGGCATCAGAATTAACTTGTTTACAGAACTGGACAGGAGTTGGTATGAGACTATATATATAGATTTTTTAAAATCCTACATAGTATGACCATTTATAATATTCATATGTTTTGCTACAGGAACATTGAATTTGATGTGCCACAAAGCCCGCCAAGGGTTTTATGTGATACAGTAGAGGCATCATACTGCCTTCCACCAATCTAAACATTTCTGAATTCCAAGACACATCTAGCCACAATGGCCTCCCACACAGGACTGTGTACTTGTCCCACAGTTTACTGTAGTCAAGAGCAAGCGAAAAACTAAGAGTCAAGAGATCAGAGAGGTGAGAAGGGCAAGACTTTGAGGTTGAAGGCAGAAAGACATTAAGAGATGAGAATTCAGATTGTAAGATTTGACACCAGCAAGCAGAATATACCTAAGGGAGACTGATGCTAGGGCGAAGACATCGACCTTCTGACTTATTAAATATTCTTCCTTGGGAAAAAGTGATGTTGAGATGTAGGCCTCCACAGTTGGAAATGGTGGCTAACATGAAGAAGTCAGAGAGCTGATATTTTGGGGAAATCAGTAGGCATATTTTAAGAGTGCTGCCTTCCTTCTTCCCTTGGGAGTAGAGATGGCCTGGAAGATCCCCTGGAGGATACGGGACTGGTCCAGCAGCAGTTGGACCAACTGTCCACCATTGGGCGTTGTGAGTACGAGAAGACGTGTGCGCTCCTCGTGCAGTTGTTTGACCAGTCGGCCCAGTCCTACCAGGAGCTGCTACAGAGCGCCAGCGCAAGCCCAATGGACATTGCAGTGCAGGAGGGTGAGTGTGCAGCCTGCTGGGAACTCTAGAACTGTGAGGAGATGGTCTCCAGTACCCCTTCACTCATTGCCTCCCTCTTTCCTGCCTCCCTGCAAAAGGATTCTTTCATCATCAGTTACCTCTATATCCACAAGAATCTTTATGAATGACATTCATTCAAAAATACCCAATGGACATTGCAGTGCAGGAGGGTGAGTGTGCAGCCTGCTGGGAACTCTAGAACTGTGAGGAGATGGTCTCCAGTACCCCTTCACTCATTGCCTCCCTCTTTCCTGCCTCCCCGCAAAAGGATTCTTTCATCATCAGTTACCTCTATATCCACAAGAATCTTTATGAATGAATGAATAAATCCCTCAAGGGACTAGGGAAGAAGAACTGAAATCACATCTGCAATGAGACTTTGTTTTAAGAGATGAGGTCTTGCTATGTTGCCCACGCAGGCCTTGCACTTCTAGGCTCAAATCATCCTCCTGCCTCAGCCTCCCGAAGTAGCTGGGACTACAGGCATGTGCCACCACACCTGGCTTCTGTCTGCTTTTTAATCCCCCACAGCACAGCTGGGACCCAGCCGAGAGCTTTATGACTGCTAAATAAAGGCCCAGGGGAAACAGGGAGATAAGTTCAGATAGTAACCTGGACTTCCTGTTTTCACTGGGCCTGGCTGGTGTTTTTAACATGGCACTGTGCCCAGCTTGGGGTGTTTTTAACTCTAAGGAAGTACTACACTCTAAAAATAATGGCCTTGTCTGATACAGGAACATTGATTAACTAACGAATTTCCCCCTTAGTATTGCCCTTACCAAAGCAGAAAAGTAACCATTCTCTGTAAGAAAAGTAAGGCTTTATGGTTTCACCATAGTGTTCTTAAGATTAAGGAAGTTTAGAGTGAGGAGTGTCTTCACAAAACCGTCACTGGAGGTGACACTAATGGGTCTGTCTCCTGCTGCAGGAAGGCTGACATGGTTGGTTTACATTATTGGAGCAGTGATCGGTGGCCGGGTTTCTTTTGCCAGCACTGATGAGCAAGACGCCATGGATGGTGAGCTTGTCTGTCGGTAAGTGCTCCGCACAGAAGCTCTCCACTCCGCCTCACTGGCACTTCTCCACTCCCCAATAGGGTCCTCTCCGCCTACAGAACATAATCTTAAGATGCTAACTGCCTGAGGCACAGCTTTCAAGCCTTTTATAAGTGCTGCAAGAACTGCCTATGATCTTTACTAAAAAAAAAAAAAAAAACCAGCAATAATTTAGCAAGGAAATAATGGATACAGAATTAGGAAAACTAAAGCAGAGATTCTCTGTTAGATCTGTTTAAGGACAATATCTCGGAGTTAGTAAAACATGCACTGCTTTTGCAATCCCAAAATAAGTCTAAAAGGAAACTGTGGTTTTTTAAAGTTCACCAAAGATGGAGTTAATATTGAGTTCCTACAGCCTTCCAAATCTCTTGGCCATACACTTGTCCACCTACAGGATTTCAACTTCTGTGCAATTTTCATTATATCAAAAGCTTTTTTTTTTGGAGACGGAGTCTTGCTTTGTCGCCTAGGCCAGAGTGCAGTGGCACTATCTTGGCTCACTGCAACCTCTGCCTCCCGGGTTCAAGCGATTCTCCTGTCTCAGCCTCCCAAGTAGCTAGAATTATAGGTGCATGCCTCCATGCCTGGCTAAATTTTGTGTTTTTAGTAGAGATGGTGTTTCGCCATGTTGGCCAGGCTGGTCTTGAGCTCCTGATCTCAGGTGATCCACCTGCCTCAGCCTCCAAAAGTGCTGGGATTACAAGCATGAGCCAGTGAGCCACCATGCCTGTCCTTCAATATATGTATCTTCTGAAAATCCTCATTTGTCTCTTTGCACCCCCATTTTGTTTATCAGATGCCCATTTGCCAAGAGGCGCCTTAATCCTGACAAAAGTCTCCGTAGCATTTTCCCACTGGTGTTTTTTGAAGAGTTGAGCAAAGCTTTAATAATGAAATCTAATGCCTTTCTGATTCTGCAGCCTAGTTCAGTACTCTGTGTCATATTATAAATTTAGTTTAAACAATGTCTTGCAGACTGGTTCTCAGCTTGAGTGTAGCAACACAGTGAATGAGTCTCATTCACTCATGGTATGTCACAAATAGTTAGCCATTCCCACACTCAGATGTTAAATGACTCACTTATTATGACATCTGTATTCTCATTCACTTGCCTGCATTCCAATATCCTTTCTTTTGGGGAGAGGGTACAGAGAAAAGGGATGAAGCCACAGGCAGCATTTCTGCTATTAATCCCTGGAAGTGTTTACCTACCTGTGAACATCATCCTTCATGTGTCTCCATTCCTTTCATGGCTCTGTGAGGAAGAAAAGATTGAAAACTCCTGGTCTAGTCCTGTCACATTTATATAGATGAACCTGGCTGCAGGAAATTGCTCTACCCAAGTACAAGCATACACAACCTGTACCTGTGTTGTGTAGAGTAACCAGGATGATAGCTTGTGTTGTCTAGAGTAACCAGGATGTCCTGCTGTTGAGAGAATGGTTGCTCCTCTTCCTCCAGGGTGCTCCAGCTGATGAACCTAACAGATTCTCGTCTGGCCCAGGCGGGTAACGAGAAGCTAGAGTTGGCCATGCTGAGCTTTTTTGAACAGTTTCGTAAGATCTACATTGGGGACCAAGTGCAGAAATCCTCTAAGGTAATGGCCTCTAAGTTGACTCCCCTTAGTTCTCACTTCTTACTTGTGGGATTGCTGATGGAGGGAAACAGTCGCTAATAATTCACATAATCTCCAGGTTTCAGGTAATAGGACAGTCCAAATGTTTTCTCTTAGTCTTTAAATTCTGGGAGATTCGTCAGAGAATTGTGCCTCTTTCTCAAGTGCTCCATGTGCTTCACAAATGGCCAGTCCAGGCATCTGTTGTTCTCCCACAAATGGGCAATTCTTAGTCTCCATACGTGAATTAATATTCAGAACAGCAGAAGACTTTGGCTTTTTGTAGTTTCAGGATTTGAAAGGGACCAGTAAGATTGCTCAGCATCTGTCCAATAATACTTAAAAACTAGCTATCCTTTCAGTAAATTTGTCTCTGGGATTCTTGTCCATTTTCTTCCACATCTTACCCCCGAGTGTGGACAAAAATAGTACCGGGGTGTGATTGTTCTAATTCATGTGTTCTGGTTACTTTCTCTTCTTAACACCAGCTCTACCGCCGACTCTCAGAAGTTCTGGGCTTGAATGATGAGACCATGGTCCTAAGTGTCTTCATAGGAAAAATGTAAGTGTTTCAGCTTGCCACCAGCAAGAGTCCTTTGCAGTCCTGTTGGAACTGTAAAATGTGATCTTGGCATTGTGCTGCCAGTGCCTGGTATTCCAGCATTGATCGTTTGCGTCAGAAAATTTGTGCATTTGAGTGTGTGACAAGCTGTGCTTAGAGATATGGCCCGGCCCCAGAGCATTCCAGGCTTGTACAGGCAAGGATTTAATTTTGTTCTTGCAGAATCTCCTCTTTAGCCTCTGGAATCACAGGTGAAACCCTGTCATGTCATTAGCAAAACAGACCTCCACCCCAGTAATTCCTGCTCAGCCTCTCACCCAATTGCTGTGCTCCAGGGATGCCCAGCATAGGCATTCGCTTTCTGTTGTTGATTTCCTCTAGTTATCCCCGCGAAGGGGAAAGCTCCACTTTAAAATGGGCTTATTCCTCCCAGGAAACATCACACCCTTTAAGAGTCTTGAGTTTCCAAAATCTACTGCTGCTGTTTGAACTGTCTTCAGAGTTGGAGCTCCTGATTGGCCCTTTTTTGGTTTTTTTACGTTATACCCCTTTGGTTACATTTTCCCCTTTTTAGGAGCTCAGTTTATTAAAGCACACGCTAGGAGCCAAATATATTACCCAGGGCTGTGTGCAAAGTGATATTTTGCCTCCTATCAACTGTTCCAACCCTAAACACTCATATCCATGAGCTGGTTAATAATTTAAGATGGAAAAAGCAAAGGAGGTCTAAAGGACTCTGCCAGCCAAGAATCCAGATGCAAGGGCTACTAGAATTCTGCAGCTGACAGTGGATGGTGCAGGTGCAGAATTATATACGTCTGCCTGTTATCACTGCCGCAGAAATCTCTTACCCTTGCTGCAGAAATCAGCCCTGGAGTGCCCCAGAATTCCAAGGGCCTGGGTATGGGCCAGTGTAGCTTTGGAACCAAGTAGTGAAGATTATCTGAAGGATAATTTTTCTAGTCAACCAAATGTAAGTACGGAGATTTCCTACCCATCTTTTTTTGTGGTCGTGATGTCTGTGAATTGGTGGTGCAGATGTGTGGTGACATTTGATGAATGACTTTCTTCTGCTCCCAGCCGTCAAGGAAACCAGCAAATCAAAAGGGTCTCCTGCTTTTTTTTTCTTTTTGTCCTCCAGCATTACCAACTTGAAGTACTGGGGCCGTTGTGAACCAATCACCTCCAAGACACTACAGCTTCTCAATGACCTCTCCATTGGATATCCTTTTCTAAGCTAGCTTCTGTGCACGAGAGAAACTGGCATGCCACAGTCTTAGAATCACGCCTCCTGCTCCTTGCACTTCAGTTTAGCTTTAGTGTGTACTCACGTATCTTCCATTTTCTTAGGAGTCACATAACGCCAGTGCCCACACAGAATATAGGAATAATTTCAGGCCCCAAAACTAAGCCGACACCCAACCTGAAAGTTTAGTACAGATTTATCCCTGTCTATTCCTTAGTTCCACAAGTACATAAAAGCCCATCTTACAGGTACACACTCTGTGTGATCAAGGCTTTAGTATCCTTAGTAGAGACAAAGTCCCTCTTAGTTTGTCCCATCAGCTGGTTGGTAGAAACATCCTGATTCCAGGCTTTGTGATAGAAGTAATGACTGTACTTCCTCTTGACTTTAACTAGGTTTGCTATAAAGTTTGAATTGCTGTAGGGCAGCTTTTCGCAACCAGAGGTCTGCAAGAAATGTATAAACTCTGTAAAATTATTAAAGTGACTGTTTTTCTTACTTCTCCAAATACTATATTTAGCTAATGCCATTCTAAATAGGAGAGAAGTTCATTCATTATACACAATATATGTCTCTTATGTAGAGCATTAGGGCCTAATTCTTTCTGGGAGCCCCTCCTGAGAGAAGTCCTTTTAGGATATTCATGATAATTGGGGAACCTGCTGGTTTTATCTATTTTCTTACAGCTAGGAGTTTGATATAGGTGTTTTCTTATTAATTAAATAGTGCTTAGAAGAGTGCATTTTTCCATATTTGGCAGTGATATCTTCAAGTGGTTTTTAAAAAGTAAGATATTTGGGTAAACTGTCCTTTATTCTGAAAAACTTCCATCTGTCCTAGAGTCTGAGTCTGCTTCATACTTTCCTTGACCTTCTTCCTTTGTCTTTACGTACAGTAGCGTAAGGAAGCTAGTGAAGCTTAGTGCGGTACAGTTCATGCTGAACAATCACACGGTGAGTGATTTTATCTTTTTTCCGGGCCCTCCTAGCACGTACACATACACTTTCTCAACACATAAAGGAGATATTTAAATGGAGGTCCCTGGTGTTGCTACCTTGCTGATTTCCACCACACTGCCAGATTACACTCACTGTTATCAGAGTGGCTCTTTGAGATCCAGATGATCTGAGTTATGGTGAAGTCACCTACTGCTACGCATACTGCAGATAAATTAGTAGCAGTAACAACAATACGCCCCCTTCAAAAAAAATAAAATCTTCAGATCCTCAAGGAATGACTACATAGCCATTGCCTTGAAAGGGCTCAGTAATTCTCTGATTACTGGCTTGCATTCTGCCTCTAACTCGTGTTTTTACCATTTAACTTGTTTTCTTTTTTTCAATAGAGCGAGCACTTTTCATTTTTGGGTATTAACAATCAGTCCAACCTGACAGACATGCGGTGTCGGACTACCTTCTACACAGCACTTGGGCGTCTCCTCATGGTGGATTTAGGTACCGTAAGAAATCCTAGTGGCTCATGAAGTCATCTGGCACTATTCTAAATTTTTATTTGAGGACAGAAAACTGGATGGGGGAAGGCTTTTCTGTTATTTCAACAGTAACAAAACTATCTGAAATAACAGTCTGATTTCACCAAGAACAGATCATGCTATGAAGGTCCTTGTAACTGGAAGAGAATAACAATCTGCTTGTGAAGTTTTTATCTGATATGCAGTGGCTTAAAAATTCTCATCATATTTCTTGGGTGTTAAATAAGGGAATTGAGATTCCTAAATGTATCTTGTTGGCCAGATAACTTGTCCACCCCACACTGAGGTGTAAACCCACTTGAAATGATCAAGAAAACTTTTTATCATCCAGTTTTCTAGCACAGATGAGCCAGAAGGGCTTAATCACTTTTGTAGCACTAGTGGTGGTATTAGCAGTTTTAGGTCAATTAATAACTAAAGCTCAGTGGTATTACTCTAATTTTGAGCTGTTTAAATTTAACCCTACTAAAATGCCATGAAACTTTCTAGGTTTATGAAAGGTGACTTTAAGTGTGAATGAAGCCTCTGTACCCATTTGAAGTTTGAGTCTCATCTAGTTCTCACGCAGCAGCTTCAGTCCTTTCTCCACTGACTCTAATTCTCACCAAATCAAAATAAATAACGTAGTGCCTTATACACATATGAATCTCTGACACTGTGGCTCAGTGTCAACAAACCTAGCCTAGACTAGGTGATTTCTGTCATTTTGTAGTTTAATAATTCTGTTTCTGTATAAACATGTTATTCTTAAATTGCTACTAATACTTGTTGGGATAATAAAGGGACCCCCTGGAGTTCTCCTGGGTCTGCTCATCTTTCATTCCGTCTTCCCATGTATGCACAGCTTTGAATTCTTGTTATTGGGGTCACACCCTGGGATTTTTCTTTTACAGGAGAGGATGAAGATCAGTATGAGCAGTTCATGCTGCCACTCACAGCAGCATTTGAGGCTGTGGCCCAGATGTTTAGCACCAATAGTTTCAATGAGCAGGAGGCAAAGGTGAGTGAATGTTTCACCCAGTAATTAATCATCTTCTGGTTTAGGGCAGTCCCCAGTAGAAAATCGTGCTTGACTATAAACTATCCACTGCCTTAGCTTTTTTATTTAATATCTTGGACTTCTGGGGTTTTGGAATTGCAAAACCAGTATAGATTTGTAAACTTTTATTTTTATATGGCATTGTATTTACTTAAGTAGCTCTTAGGTTTTTTTTTTTAATCTAAGCTTTCAAATTTATTAGCATAAAATTATTTACAGTTTTCTTACTGCCTTTTAATCTCAGTTTTATCTTGACGTCCCTTTTTCATTTTTCATACTGCTCATTAGTGACAAGTTGGGTTTTCCTTTTTTGAGATGGAGTTTTGCTCTTGTTGTCCAGGCTGGAGTGTGATGACATGATCTCTGCTCACCACAATCTCTACGTCCTGGGTTCAAGTGATTCTTCTGCCTCAGCCTCCCGAGTAGCTGGGATTACAGGCGCGTGCCACCATGCCTGGCTAATTTTGTATTTTTAGTAGAGACAGGGTTTCTTCATGTTGGTCAGGCTGGTGGTCTCAAACTCCCAACCTCAAGTTATCCACTCACTTTGGCCTCTCAGAGTGCTGAGTTTACAGGCGTGAGCCACCACACCTAGCCAGGTTTTCTTAAAATTGTGGTAAAAAACAAATTGTACCATCTTTACCATTTTTACATGTACGGTTTACTGATGTTAAGTCGTTCTTTCTTTTTTTGAGATAGAGTGTTGCTCTGTTGCCCAGGCTGGAATGCAGTGGTGCTGTCTGAGCCCACTGCAACCTCTGCCTCCCGGGCTCAAGCGATTCTCCTGCCTCAGCTGCCCGAGTAGCTGGGATTATAGGTATGTGCCGCCACGCCCAGCTATTTTTTGTATTTTTAGTAGAGAGGAGGTTTCACTATGTTGGCCAGGCTGGTCTCAAACTACTGACCTCTGGTGATCTGCCTGCCTTGGCCTCCCAAAATGCTGGGATTACAGGCGTGAACCACCACGCCTAGCCAATGTTAAGTATTTTTACATTGTTGTGAAATAAATCTTCAGACTTCACAATATTAAGATGGAACATTTTCGTTATTTAGTTCTTTGTGGTTTCTAATTTCCATTGAGATTTCTTCTTTGACACGTGAGTCATTTAGAAAGGTTTAAGAATTTCCATATGTATCAGTTTTTGTTTTTGTTAGAGACAGAGTCTCACTCTATTGCCTAGGCTGGAGTACAGTGGCATGATCATGGCTCACTACAAGCCTTGAACTCCTGGGCTCAAGCAATCCTCCTGCCTCAGCTTCCCATGTAGCTGGGATTAATGTCCAGTAAATTTCCATATATATGTAATTTTAAGTTCTTGTTTTCTAGCTGTTAGAATTGTCATTTCTTGATTGTTGCTTTCCTCATCTTTTTACTTTATACATACTGTTCTCTTGACTTGTATAGATCTCTGTGTCAAAAGTAGAAGACACCAGGATGTTACTATTGGTAGGACTTTTTACAGTATTCCTCAGGACACCAATGCTGAATGGTAGACCTACCAAATAGCCAGGGTATTGCCAGAAAAAAATGCCAGGCGTTACCTAACATTCTAAATTTCTCCTTTTTCATCTTTAGCCTTTCTTTCTCCATCTATAAATCAGCAGTGTAGGCAGAGAGCAACACCACTTAATACAACTCTCTCTTCCCTTTATATTTGTGTTTTAGGATCTGAGATAGGTACCATTCAAATCTTCGATTATTGTGGAACATATTGGCAACTTTAGGCAAGAGTGTCAACCAATATCAAGGATTTAGGGATATCGGTGAATATCAGCCCTTTTCCCATCATGTGGTATTAGTTTCATATAAAGCAAGTAAAATTAACCGAAAGAATCACCTTGGTAATGGTCTACAACTGTCACCCACTTCGTAGCCATGTCCCATGTAGTCTTTTAAGAGATTGACCAAGTGTTGGACTGGAGTACTGAGAGCTTGTGGTATCAGCTTGAGAACTGTTTGCTTACAAGCAGGCTGTTAACAGAAGTGCTGACATTTTTGCCAAATGTGTTGAGATCTCCAAATGTGCAACCTTCTTGAGCATATTGATGACTACTAGATTTTGTTGTTGTTGTTCTTGTTGTTCTGTCTTCACGTTTGGAGACAAACCCCAAACTATAAATTTTAAAGCAGTTTTATTGCTGTTTATGCCACAAGTAAAAGTTCTGTTGAGAGAGTGAGTATTGGATTTGGGGTCTTGGTGCAATGTATGAGTCTTGATCTGGGCCCTCCTGCTACCTAGCAACATGACTGTGGGCAAGGTTTTTGTCCTCTTTAGTCCTCAGTCTCTTTTTCTGTAAATGGAGAGTACAGATTCAACATAGGCTCATCTAGATGGCCCACCCAAAGGGAGAGGCACTGTGTGGACTCCCCTTTGTCTTCCTCCTGGTAGAGCTTGCATCTGACTTCCTTTAAGGTATAAACCATTAGGGTACATATGGCTCTTCTACCTCTTCTTCTTTGGGACTTCTGGTTTTCTTTTTTGCCTTTTTCTGGCTTGAGTGGGTTTCTGTGCCATGCGCATGTGTGTATGTGTGTGCGTCTCTCTCCCTGGGTGGGCTCAAAGCTTTTTCACTTTTTACATATGATGTATTACTTTAATGTCTTAAAACCTTGTCAGCCTCTATTTTTGCAACGAACCAGGAACCTATACTTGGCATAACAAACTTCAAAGCTAATTTTTCAAGTGAAAATATCCCATTCTAGGATGGAAGAGACTGAATCAAAATATTTCAGAAGGAGTATTTGTTGAACTGTGAGAGGAAGAGCTTGATGACGTGTGGAATCCTCATCAGACTGTTTTTTCTTTTCTTCTATTTTAACATGTTTTTGCCTTCTACTACAGCGAACTCTAGTTGGCCTAGTAAGAGACCTGAGAGGGATCGCTTTTGCTTTCAATGCCAAGACCAGCTTCATGATGCTCTTTGAATGGATGTATCCTAACTCTGACTAGGAACACACCTACAGCAAGCCTTAACTGAAGTGTGATTGGGTGATGGGGTCAAGAGAGGGTGTGCAGGGAAGGGAAGGCGTAGTGAGGCAGAGAAGATGAAGAGCCACCCAAAAGGCCTGCATGTGTTCTGGAAGCCACCATTTCACAGTGGTCTAATGACAGACATAAGGTTGTCTGAGGTTAGAACACGAATGAGGTAGTCTCCCAGTTTCTCTTTTGGATCTCAAATATAAATGCCTGTGGAACTATATACCACTGTAGAACTGTTGATTTTGCTATATTTAGAGAGATGTTTCAGTCTAAGGAAAAAAAACAAATCATAGTTTTTACAAATTAGGAAGTCTTAAGTTTACTGACTCCCTAACCTTGCGCAGATTATTTGAAATCCAGGTGCCTCTTTCTGTAATAGTTACATAAAGGAAATGAGCTGATCCCCTGTCATACCATAGAAGTGCTAAGAGGATAAATAACAATCTGAAATACATCATGTTCTTTAGAAGAAAGGCACTAGGTAAATTAAAATGTATTACTAGATGCCTTTTACAGGTTAAAGAACACAAAATCACTTTAGTGTCTTCTGGTTAGAAAGACTCCAACATTAGCAAGCAAGAGACTGGAACTTAAGTGTAATTTGACAGTCTGTGCTTGGCTAGTGCTAAAAACCTATTTTAAATTCTGTACCTTTCTTGAATCAGAAATCCTTCCTTAGCTTCTCATTTACAGATATCCATCCTACATGCCAATTCTCCAACGGGCAATTGAGCTCTGGTACCATGATCCAGCCTGTACCACACCTGTACTCAAGCTGATGGCTGAATTAGTTCATAATAGGTAAGCAATTCCAAGGTTACAGCTGCCCTGTTATCTGAGAGAGTTTGTTGTATCTAGTGCTTTGGGCAGATTGTGGGAGATGAGATTTACTGCTGCATTTTAAAATTTGAAAAGTTTTTGTGTATGTTTTTGTTTGAAAGAACAGTATTCCTAACTACACAAAATCATAGCCCACTGCAGGAAATAAGTTACTTTTAAAGAGTCTCCACTGGGGCACAGTGGCTCACACCTGTAATCCCAGCCCTTTAGGAGGCCGAGATGGGCAGATCGCTTGAGTGCAGTAGTTCAAGATCAGCCTGGGCAAGATGGTGAAACCCACCCCTGCAAAAAATTAGGCAGGCATGGTGGCATACACCTGTAGTCCAGCTACTCAGGAGGCTGAGGTGGGAAGATCACTTTAGCCTGGCAGGCAGAGGATACATTGAGGCCAAGATTAAGCCATTGCACTCCAGCTGGGTGACAGAGTAACACCCTGTCTCAAAAAAAAGTAAAATAAAGAGAATCTCCAGATGTCCGTTCTTAGGAGAAGTAAATTTGGCAACCAAGATTCTGATTTCCTGCTCACAGATATAAAGGTTAACATTTGGTAATGGTGCCTTGTCCATCACATTTCATGGTTAGAGATGTTGAGAAGGATATGATCGGTATCAGAATAGCTTTATCTTCACTGTCTCCATGAGACCTTTTATAACCACAATGATTACAAATAGTTCTTTGTTGAATTATTAGGTCCAGAATAGAAGATGTCATTGTACACCTTATTTCACTCACACTGTTAGGCTCTGATGTGCTATGCTTAGCTATCTGCCAGAGATGGGTAAATTATAAAACTCACATGTACTGCTTAAGTTTATATCTTATGCTAATTTATAAGAACAATTAAAAGGACTTAGAAGATTAAAAAAAAAAGGAATACTCTTTCTTAAGAAAGGGATTTATTAAAAAGGTTGTGGCAGGAGCAATAAAAATTTACTTTTAAAAAGTCAGAATGATTTTCAAAACACCAAATTAGGATAGTAAAAAAGAAAAATCTAGCACCTTAGCTTTCCCAGAATTTCAGATACGTGCATTGGTCTCTCATGGGAGTCCTGAGACAGTAAGTTTTAAAACTACCTTAGGGGGTGGGTAATACTCAAAGAAGCTATAACCTCCCAGGAGGCTTATATTCAGGAGTTATTCATTTATAAAGTAGATACTTGAGAGCACTTGCTCTTTGCCCAGCCTTCGTAGCCACTATGCCAGACAAAATCTCTACCCTCTGATGTTACAAATGGTGAGGAAGACACAATAAAAACAAGTATGGAAGATCTTTCTAGATAGTGATTGCCATGAAAAAAATAAATAAATAAAGCAGTAAAATAGAGGAGAATTAAAGGATAGGAGGATCAGGGAAGACCTCTCTGAGAAGGTAATATTAACTAGGATCTAAATGACAAGAAAGATTCTGGTAGCCCTGCAAAGATAAGAGATGTTCTAAACAGAAAACAACTGCAGGAGTCCTGAGATAGGATAAGCTTGCTGGGACTTGTGGCACGAGTCTGGTGGATGGGGGAGGCTGTGGGAGCAGGGTCAGACCAGTGAGCAGAGCCAGATCATCTAGCGTCTCAGCACAGCAGTAGTGAGGAGTGGGCATTTATTCTCGTTGCAGTGGGAAGCCGCTAGAGTGTTTTCAGCAAGGGATTAAAATGATGTCATTTAAGTTATTTAAAGGCTTCCATGAGAAGAATGGGACTGAAGGCAGGTAAGAGTAGGAGCAGAGAGACTATAAGGGAGAGGTGGATTCGGGGTGTGTTTTAGTTAGATGTTGATGGATTCAGTGTTGAGGGTAGGAAAGAGGAAGTAGGAAGGACTCCTAGGCTTTTCAGGTCTTACCTTGAGTCTAGTGAAGCTTATCAAAATGTGGAGCAGACAAAAGAGAAGATTGTTAGAAATGTCTGTCTTTTCTGTCCGGCTTCTTTTAGACCATTCCAATTCCCTTTGTATCCTTTCTTCATATAAAATAGTAACAGTGCCTTTGCCCCTCTCTCAGATGCCACTGAAGCCATAAAGATCCATGCAGACTATTGGCTGAAGGGCTCTGAGTTAGTACCAAGAGGTGACTGGTAGAAAGTGTACTTTAATCAAATAAAATTGAGATTTGTAAGACAGTAATTTTATCTGCTCCCTTTTTTCTTCTCTTTTAAATGTTTTTAATTTGAGCAGCAGAATCTGAATCTAGCATGTTGGTCTTCAAGATGGAAGCTACATTATTGGTTAAATATCGATAACTTGGTTATCCTCATTAGAATAGGCAGGCTACTTATTTTAATGTAAATGCAGGATCACTCAAGGTGTGAGAGCCTCAAGTACCCTAGTCTTCCCAGAAAACAGTCTGATGTTTTCTCCTCCTGTGCTCTTTGCTCAGATCCCAGCGACTCCAGTTTGATGTCTCTTCCCCCAATGGCATCTTACTCTTCCGAGAAACCAGCAAGATGATAACAATGTATGGTAAGTGCTTCAGAGAATCATGCCCCTCGAAGTTAATTCCAGCTCACTCACCACACTGTAAGCAGCCTGTGGGTCTCCGGCCAGCCCTGGCAAGAGCCAGGACAGCATTGCTATTGTGTGCTAATACATGTGCATTAGAGTGCCACCTGTCACCAGGGGCCTGCTGGAATTTGTATGCCTTTGGAGTAGGAAGGCTGATATAAATGAGCACTTCTAATGTAGTTGAATAAACATATATGACATGTCTACTCAGGCAATCGCATCCTGACACTAGGAGAGGTCCCAAAGGATCAGGTCTATGCTCTGAAGCTCAAGGGCATATCCATCTGCTTCTCCATGCTGAAGGCTGCTCTCAGTGGGAGTTACGTCAATTTCGGAGTCTTTCGTCTCTATGGAGATGATGCCCTGGACAATGCTTTGCAGACCTTCATCAAGCTGCTCCTCTCTATTCCCCACAGTGATCTCTTGGTAAGCCTTACGCTACATTGCCAGAATCTTGTTCCTCATCACATTTAGCCTTTTTCACCTAAGACCATGATGGAAAAACTCTTGAAAAACTATATAGGCTAGCTCTTTTCTGCTATAACTAAGTCTTTTGTTTTCCCAACTGAAAGGAGCTAAGCTATTTAAGATCGTCTCCCTGCATGCTGGAGTGCATGGTGCCTAAGCTGATTTTCTTCCTCCTCTCTCCCACAGGATTACCCCAAGCTCAGCCAGTCTTATTATTCACTACTGGAAGTCCTGACCCAGGACCATATGAACTTTATTGCAAGCCTGGAACCTCATGTCATCATGTATATTCTCTCTTCCATTTCTGAAGGACTTACTGCTCTTGGTAAGCACGTGGGTGGGGTGGGTAAGTTGGTGGGTTGGTTTTTTTCTTTTGTTTTGTTTTGTCTTTTAACCACTTAACAGAAAGAGAGAAGCTTTAGAGATAAGCAGGAGCAAATCTGGAGATAATGAAGGGGGCCCATAAGCCATATTAGGCTGTTTGAACTCTGTCCTAAGGGCCGTGGAAGCTGAGGAAAGGTTTCACACAGCTAGCTCCATAAGTTTTTTCATCCTAGTCCATATGGTTCCTGTCAACCAATTTGTTTATAGGGAATATGTGTATGTAATAGGGATATGTGTTTTGTAATAGGTGTATGCGTTAGGAGAGTAAAACACATTTTTATATTAGGCTGAGCAAAACCTAAGTAGGAGGATTAAGTCAGCTGCCAAATAGTGATGATATATTGCAAATACACATAGACTGACTTGTAGATTATCAACTGTGGTGAATTATCCATGCCTCTGTGCCACTTTGATGCACATTCACTTCCATTTCCACTATTCCATCAGGGTGCATAGCCATATGTAGTACAGTCCAGTCAAAGTATCAGCCCTTGCTTTGGAAGACTGTTGTCTTACTGAAAATAGAGGGACCTTTGTATAAACCATCAGTCCCTTAGGAATCAGAGAATTGCTTACTCTTTTAAGGGTTCATCCCTTAGTCCTTTGGGCTCACCTCATCAGTGCTGTACTGTTCCCTTTGTAAAGATGCATAGAAGAGTCTGCAGCTTCCCTCAGAGATGCGCTGGAGATAAACACGTAATATAGCACAGCCCATTCTAACAAACGATAGACATTCATAGGCTACATCATCAGTCTTGGTTTAATGACATCCTGCAGGTAACTCAGAGCATAGGCTCCTACCCCAGGCTTCTTGGATTCCAATCACAGCTTTTGCAGTTACTGTCAGTTGATCCTTAGGCCGATGCATAACCTCTCCAAATTCTGGTTTCCTCATATGTAAAACAGAAAACCTACTTCCTGGAGTTCTTGAGACGATAAATTAGATAACACCTGTAAAGTACTTAGAACAATATCTAGCACAACAGAAGCACTTGCTAAATTAAACTGTCATTTTGTGTGCAGCAGAAGATGTACATCAACAATTCACTGAGACAGTAATTTCAGTATTCTTTATTTATATATAATTTCCAATATTCACTTTCAAACTTAGAAATTGAGCCCAGCTGTACGATGAGGGTAAGAGGTTAACAAGGAGTCCTCCTGAGCAGTGGCCTTGGCTGAATTGGCCACAGGACGGACCTTAGTGGATGTCAGCCAAAGATAGATAGTCCATATTTGCCCAGGTCACCTTCAGCAGCTCTGTCCTACTCCTACCTTTATTTCTTGCAGACACCATGGTATGCACAGGCTGCTGCTCCTGCCTGGACCACATAGTGACATACCTCTTCAAGCAGCTGTCACGTAGCACCAAGAAGAGGACCACACCCCTGAACCAGGAGAGCGACCGCTTTCTGCACATCATGCAGCAGCATCCAGAGATGATCCAGCAGGTAAGAAAGTGATGGAGTGTCTGAAAGAGGAAGGACCTCTGCAAGACAGGGGAGGCCACACATGACTAACCTAACATCTCATCAGGTTCCTGCTGCTGAGATGAAGTTCGTTTCTTCAAGTTGCAGTGGATTTTGAGTTTGCCAAGTAATCACTGGATATAGAAAATCTGAAAAAAAAAAAAATCAGGTTCTGGATTATTCTTCTGACTGTCATAGCAACCCCTGTGCCCTGGACCTATCTCATGAGCACTATCCTCTTTTCTTTGAAAATTACTTTGCTCACCCACTGCAATAAATAGAGCAAGAGTTAGCAGCATCCAGCTTTCTAACAGCCCGTGCTCTTGTTTACAAAACGGGAACGTAAATGCAAGACAGAAGAAAATAACTGGCCACAGTGAGGTCAACTATATGCTTGCCCGTATTTGTATGCAATGAAAATAAAACTTGAAATAACTTACAGGAATAGATACTAGATAAAAATAGGTAAGGAAATGGGATCAGTAATTATTGAGATTTTAGCTAATCTTACCTTTGTCCATACTGTTCTCTAAAGAAGCAGTGACATGGCCAGGTGCGTAATCCCAGCACTTTGGGAGGCCAAGATGGGTGGATCACGAGGTCAGGAGATCGAGACTCCTGACTAACACGGTGAAACCCCATCTCTACTAAAAATACAAAAAATTAGCTGAGCATGGTGGCACGGGCCTGTAACCTCAGCTATTCAGGAGGCTGAGGCAGGAGAATTGCTGCAACCCAGGAGGCAGAGGTTGCAGTGAGCCAAAATTGCGCCACTGCACTCAAGCCTGGGAGACAGAGTGAAACTCCATCTAAAAAAAAAAAAATGGCAGTGAGGGGCAGTGAATTAATTCAGAACTCCATCACATCCACAAAATGTCATTAAACTGTCAACTCCAAGTACCTGGAAGGGATCATGCAAGGTGGTTTTGCCTACTGTAATTTTGTTTATGTGACCCCATCCCATTCCCCACAAGTCAGGGTGAACTGGAAAGATCCATTTGTAAGTGAAATTATCAAACCAATTTTAAGAACAGGAAAGGAAATGAGTATCTTAGAAGAAATGGTTACTTAGAAGACTCAGATGAAGCTTCACAAACTATTTGTCAGACTTACCCTACACAGAAAAGGCCTTCAGTCTAATATACTCCTGTATTTGGAATCTGTCGTTTTATCTTGGGTAGCTGTACATAGGTCATTGCCTCAAATCCTCCGTTTTCAGATGCTGTCCACGGTGCTGAACATCATCATCTTTGAAGACTGTAGGAACCAGTGGTCTATGTCCCGACCCCTACTTGGCTTGATATTACTTAATGAAAAGGTGAGAGAGCAAGCTCCCTGGTGCCAACCCAGAAGACCACGCACTTCCTATCACCAGGCACTGAGAGAAATGTGTATAGAAACACCCCAGGATGGTGAAACAGGGAAAATGGGTCATTTACTGAACATGCCCCATTCATGTTTTCAGTATCACATAATCACTTACTTGTTAGAAGTCAGCATGTGTGGTAGCTCACAGACACAGGGTAAAGGAGTGTTTCCCTCTCAGGAAATAAGAGAAACCTTTTAAGGAAGTAAGGTACTTGGGTATCAGAGGGCCTAAGACCTAAGTTCCATTTCTAGCTCTGCCATAAACAAGTTTTGAGATTCCTATAAAAGAAAGGGCTGGTTACATGACCCTTTTAAAGTGCTTTACAAATTAAAAATTCTTGATTTTTTTAGTAAGGTGAAGACATATTATCCTAGAAGGACTTGCCTGAATTTTTTTTAAGTGTCCAATTTTAGTAGATATTCCATTACTCTTTAGAGAAGAACATTTTTCATCCCTGACACAGTGATAGAGGGCTAATCTGCCTTTCCCTGCATCTCTTACCTTCTATTCCACTCCTTGCCCCACAGTATTTTTCTGACCTAAGGAACAGTATCGTGAACAGCCAGCCACCAGAGAAGCAGCAGGCCATGCATCTGTGTTTTGAGAACTTGATGGAAGGCATCGAACGAAATCTTCTTACAAAAAACAGAGACAGGTGAGTATAGAGTATCCTGCCTAGAAATCTCAGACAGTTGTTATTTTTCACATCAGCGAAACAGGCAATTCCTTTAAAGTCTTTGTTTATCTGTGTTTGGAGGCCATCTAAAGCAGTGCTATCCAATAGAAAAGCGAGCCATGTTAAACAGGCAAAATTCATTTTAATAATATACTTTAACCCAGTGTATCCAAAATATTATATCAATATGTAATCAGTATTTTTAAATTGTGGGTTTTCACATTCTTTTTATTGTACTACATTTTCAAAATCCTGTACATTTTACATTTAACAGCGTATCTCAATTCATACCTTTTTTTTTTTTTGGGAGACGGAGTCTTGCTCTGTCACCAGGCTGGAGGGAAGGCCCAGTCTCGGCTCACTACAGCCTCTGCCTCCTGGTTTCGAGTGATTCTACCACCTCAGCCTCCCAAGTAGCTGGAACCACAAGCGTGTGCCACCACACCTGGCTAATTTTTTTGTATTTTTAATAGAGGCGGGTTCCACCATGGCCAGGATGGTTTTGATCTCTTGACCTCGTGATCTGCCCACCTTGGCCTCCCAAAGTGCTGGGATTACAGGCATGAGCCAAAGGCATTTTAATTTAAAATTAAGATGCAGTTGAGGAGCTGAATGTTAACTGTATTCAATTTGGAATCATTTCCTCAGTCACACTGGCCCTAATTTAGATACTCAGTGGCTATGTGTGGTTGGCAGCCACCCTATTGGACAGCACAGCACTACACCAACTGGTCTTGCTGCATTAAGAAAGGAGACTGTGTCCTTCACTTCCTGCCTCACTTTGTGAGAGTAACTTCCTACCTCTGTCAGTGACATTTCTTTTGTGCTGCCATGAGCCCAACGCAGCCCTCAGGGCCCCAGACTTGACCAGATCTCTAGGCCAACTTTCCCTTAGACTGAGATTAACTGATCTTTGAAACAGAACCCATCAAGTCATACATTCTACTTCCCATGCTTTAAAAAAAAAAAAAAAAAACTGTAGGCAAATAACTTTCCTTCACACCCTCCTCCCCCAACCCACATGCATCCTCTCTGCAGGTTCACCCAGAACCTGTCAGCATTCCGTCGAGAAGTCAACGACTCGATGAAGAATTCCACTTATGGCGTGAATAGCAATGACATGATGAGCTGACACCTCCTTGGACTCTACCTGTACAGAGCAGCGTCCCTTTGGTTTGGCCCAGAGGGGCGAACAATTGCAAGGGAGAGGGCCTGGCTGATCCTGGCTCCTTCCTCCAGGGGTGTGGGGAAAATGGCAAAGGTCAACTAGCTACTTCCCCAGGGAATAGGGGTGTGAGTGCACTCATGGGGGGGGCAGGGCGCTGCTGGTTCCTGGGGGACTGGGTGGGAAGGGTGGTGGGAGGAGATAAGAAACACAAACTGAGACTCCAGCCCCTCCTCCTGGGGCCACCCAAGTGGGGAGAACCCCTAGTGTCCTGCCACAAC